CTTTCTCTTAAGTTGATAGTTTGCGTATCGACCTCGGCACTTTCTTAGTAGATTGTGTTGACGTGCCTGACAGCCAGATTCTTGAGGTATGTACATCGTTTCTAGTAGGCTCAGTGTGCAAATCTTCTGGAAGGGAATGTCATTTATGCATAGTCACCTAGTGGCACATGAGTTAGTTAACTTCTAATTTTCTGCTCTTTTATACTAATAATGCAACTAACTTAAGAGATTTAACGACACAAAATATTATGATGGATGCAAGACCATTGTACCCACAAGGGTGGCATTTTGTTGACAATAATTATTCCCTGGACGGAAACGACCATTTAACTCCACTCGCTCGGATTGATAATCCAGTGCGCTACTACATCATTGACTACGATTGTTCTGTGCATTTAAAACCGGGACAGCCTCATCTAATACAGGGAGACGGTGGGCGAGATCCGGATGTTCCAGAGTTGATGGAACTTCACCCGTTTGACCCGTTTAAAGTCGACGTGTTTACGGTTGGAAATATGCTTTTCAAGGAGTTTTATAGAGTACGTGTTTAACTACTCATCTTGGTGTCATTTTTGGTTGAATCTTTATTCTAGAAATACCTTGGCGTTGACTTTCTCAGCGTTCTCATCAATAACATGATGGCTGAAAACCCGGAACATCGCCCAACGGCTGAAATGGCGTTAGCGCAATGGAATAAAATCAAAGCAATTATTAAACCCAGCACGGCACATAATCGGCTTCGCAAACCAGATGAGTCGATGGGTGAGAGGGTAGTGCTTAATACTGTCGCCGTTGCGCGACAAGGACTTCACGGGCTTCGGACTCTATTTCGTGATGACGTGAGTACACTGCCACATACAACATACCAAACAAATATTAAATCTTCATCCCAGCCCACAGCTTGGTAGCGTCCACGCACTACAACCTATTTCATCGTCGTTTGTTATTCACGCTTTCCTGCTTTGCTTTCAGTGGCCAATTCCACACCTTGCTCTGATGATGATTCCAAAATTCACTACATCCTGTTACCATTTCGTTGTGCTAGATACCCAAACATGAACATGAACCACCAAGATGAAGACACGACGGACAAATTGCGTATTAATTCGTGACTTGATGCTTACACGATCTTACGCCTCCTATGACTACAAGCTAAGGGCAAGAAGGCATTTATGTGACACATATCTTTATATTACTATTCTACAGTAGTCCAATGATAATGATCCCTAACAACCTACTAATGCTGCACTGATAGTCAACGTTCTGCATGCGTGTCGGGGATCACATTCCATTGTCTATGCTCGAAAACTTAAAAGCGTAGACACTAAGCTTGGTAACTATGCATGTTCAAGGTCTCAGACACGACGCTAGTATGAAAGTAATATTACATGCCTCAGTTTTATGGTAGGCAGTAAAACGTTCGACAGAAACGAGTTTTACTGCCCTTCGGTTTGCGGATATCTTTCCGAACGCACAGCACAGGCCTAGGGTATGCCCGCAGTATCCACAACTGTACGTATACAAATATACCAACAGACTCTTGCCCAAGCTGCATAGTTGTATTTGGCTATATACCCAGATTCTGAATCTGATATCGACGAACAACTAAATCCAGTTTTTTAATATACATACATGCAAATAAAGGAAGCTAGCGTAACATTAGAAGAAGAAGAAATCGAAATTGTGCTGTTGGATCATTGGCTCATATTCTTCAACATCTCCCCCCACCTTGAGAACGAAGTCCCAGCGGAAGTATGGCGAAGAAAGTGTCAATTCCTTCGGAAATACTATCCCGGACGAAGGTTGAAGATTAGAAAGGGATTGAACTATTTGTTTGTTCAGGTAAGACTGGTCCACCCATTGCTGTTGGCTAGTTATAAAAAGAGGAGCGTTCATAAAAGGAAGCTTGATAGTAAGATGTTTTAGCTGTGGAATCGAAATCGCATTGACGAGAACTGATAACTATCGGATATTATTGAGCTGCATTCGCGTTTGGAAAATCAATAAAAAAGACTGACAGTTCCTTGCGCAATACGATTAGCTATTGTTGAGAGCTTTGCATCTCCGTCAACCGTCATATTTAAGCCAATGTTCAAGATTTTCAGTGTTTGACACTTGGGTAGAAGCGATGAACCAAAGTTCTCTACGGACCAAGCCCAACATTTATTATTGTCGACAACTTTGAGACGGCGAAGTGATGCACTATGTTTTCCAACTGCAGAGAAGAAATCTTTAGCTAGTTCATCCGGTTGTGGTGTGAGGTCTGAGTAAACGGATATGTCCAGTTCACAGAGTCCACAGTATGAATCAAGATAAAGAATGAGTTCCTTGTCAATTACAGTTGATCGTAAATTCTGGAGCTGAACCTTTGATTGGCACATGATCCGCCATACGGCATGCATATCACTTCGGCCACATCTGTCATCCATGCTAAAAGAATTTAAATGAGGGCTGTATGAAAGGACGAGAAGGAAGTGGGGCATGATACTCGAGTAAAATTCGGGTGGTCCATAGAGATGAATAGTTGTGATCATCGATAGTTGAGGAACGTGAAGGCCGACCAAGGTAAGAGGTAGGAAAGGATTGAAATACGAGCTTGAGACCTTTGCTCTAGCTTGTTTGAATTGCTGGAATTCAGGTCTAGATCCTGTGCATTAGAAAGGGACAAGCGTGAAGGAAATAGTGACATACGCATTATTAATTATGTTCGGGAATATGATAATATCTTGATCTGGTCGGGATGTGGATAGGTCCCAACAGAAATCTGAACAATGTACATTGAGGACAGTTGAATTCTTGAAGAACCGTGGATCAGCAATCAAAAGTAGCAAGCGAGCATAAACCGTATCGATAAGTTGTTGTGATGCTCTGATTTCAAGCCTAGAGTATAGTCGATGCTCCAAAAGATTGTTTATCCTCTTGCACACAAGACGCAAGCGCCAGAGGTAATGACAATCGCCATTCAAAAGACCCACTGAGTAACTCTGGATGGATAATGGGCATAAGAAATCGAGTATATGATCCAACAATTCATTAGGCAGTGTTGATATAGAGAAATTTTGCTCTTTTAAGGATGTTTGTTAAAATTACGCTCAATATAAGATAGATATTCAGACTTACGTTCTGTTGAGGCTTTGTAGGGCATGAGTTTGTATCAGGGAATGTTACTAGTACCGCGAAAGCGAGCGATTTTCGAAGGGAGATTTATACACACTTAACTAAATAGGGGGTCTAGCCGGAATAGAGAGAACGTGATAGCTGAGGCCGACGGCCTTGGTATGCCAAAGATCCATGCAAATGGAAACATAAAAATTGCGTCGTGTTCCCAGCGGTGTTTCAGTTTGGATGATAAAGCTGAGCTATAAAAATCGCTTTAGTCCTATCTGGCCTTTCTTCATTATTCTAGTCTTGAGAGGGGATAGCGTTCCCGAGTAGTTGGAATGGAGAGCTCGAGCATCATGTCATTACAAGGCATTGAATTAAAAGCTGTGCAGCGTCTGCGCTTCCGGTAACTATCCCACTTTGAATTCAGTCCCAGCAAGATCAAATTTGATGCTGCGCATAGGTCATAAGTTGCAAGCATAATGAATGTTTGAGCATTATGTAGCTAGCAGGTTGAGGACGTTGGAAGACATACACTCATGTCCAAATCAAAGATGCGATCAAATTGAAGCTGCCACCCAGTGGCACCAAGTGTCGAGACTCAAGAGCACAAATAAGCACATGACTGAACAACAAAGCTCGATCAGCGTTAAAACAGATAAATAATAGAAGGTAAACAGTCAAACATACGAATTGTCTGCGATTAAGCAAAACTAACGTCACCTGAGCGATTCGAACACTCGCGGGCAAAGCCCAACCGCTGGCTCATAGCAGGCGATCCCGTTAACCACTCCGGCAAAGTGACTATACAATTGAAATAGTATTATGCTTTACTAAGCCTGTGCAATCCATCATCCAAATTTTACTTTTCATTTCTGTTTTCATGGAGACAGATTCGAGATGTATTAATTTACCTAACAGGACCAGACACAAATCCATCACCACTGTACAATTCAAGATTGTTCTCCTGATGCTCTAAATAGTGTCTGTTCATCTCCACAGTAGCCAGTTTCATCATCATCATAGGAACTGTACATATCTTGGCTTGGTTGCAAATATAAATTTTGTCATCTTAGTATTTATAATATGTGCCTTAATAATGAAAAGAACCTCGCTATATAGTGACTTTTTAATTAAGTGGCAGCTCTGATCTAGTGTATACTGCTTCAGGGCTCGTTTACGGCTAAGTCAATGGGACCCAGAGGTACAACACATAAAGTTAAGGTGCCTTCATATTCTCAAGGACTGCAAGTGCTGTTGGGGAGAGCCACTTAGCAGGGAAGACATCCATAGTGCTTCAAATACATGCATAAAAATTAATAAGGATGGCAAGGACAGCTTCTGAGTGTGCTATAGTAGCTCTATCCAATCGTCGTCCCGTACGTGCAAAAAGCAGATGCTAATCGTCACTGCAATGACGCATAGTCGAAGAATGTGTAACACGAGAAACAGGACGAGACTAGAACGCGTTAACACTGCATCTGCAAATTAGCGAGGATGGTCGTTGAGTCACTAAGCAAAACGGATCCGGGAGTTTGAAAGTTTTCTTCATATTGTGTAAAACGCAACTTGCGATATGTCCATATGCTCACCGGTCAGTTCGGGAAAAGTACGTCCATCATTAAATGGATGCCACTGTGGTCGCCGCAGACTGATTACGGAATGGAGGCTAGCTGGAGAACGAAGAAAACAAAAACAAAAATAAATTATATGTCAGCTTTGTGTGTTATTGTTGATTAAGGAAAGAGGCGGCTCCGAGATTCGCGATATCGAATGCATTACAATCAAAAGTTAAAGAAAAGGGGAAGGATGCTGAGTAATGCTGGCTAATAATTTAGTGAGCGGCTTCTTTGACTACATCATTATTTCGCTCAAGCATACATTCCATATGTCCACCACTGGTAAGTGCTAACGTTATCTAGTACTGGTACCAGGGTAAATCGAAAGCCTAGAGGGAAATTCGCTTCCATTAATTCACTGTCTAAAAAATCCCCAGTACCACAGAAGTTAGAACATGGCTTAAAAGGGCCAACTATCAACACTATGGACTAAAAAAAATATGATTGGCTGGTATTGTCATTAAGCTCGTGCAAAGAAATGTAATTAAAGATAGTTGATAATAACAAGCGCGACGGAGCTCAGCTCCATATGTGTACTCAAAAAGACATCCATGCCATAGTGATATGTTATTCATACTGCGATTAAATCGTAAAATCGATCAGGTGGTGACTGTGAGTCCACCAACACTACTTGCCAGGAAGGGAGCGTGGGACTGTCGGGGCCTGAGGCGTACCTGCATACTTTGGCACAATGCGGTCATATATAACTGCACTGCTAGGCTGGGACATTATCATCCTCAGAAAACCCTTTATACAACTTATGCAAGAGTGCTAATTTGATCAGTCCAGAATACGAGGTTAGATGTCCCCGAATTGTTCCATCGACGCTGTTCGAATGAAGAACACGGAGTTAACGGAACTATGGTGGTGTAGGCTTATCATTAGATGACATGATCTTCACGAAAGAAAAAGAGGATGAAGGACGCACCCCGCGTAGAATGTCCCATTTGCATAAAATTTCGCAGAGACTGGATCTTGCGGTTGCATGTATAAAGTACCGATTTCTCTCCTATCCAGATACTAGGGGAAAGAGCTCAGAAAGCCCATCTCCGTGAAGTTGTCGGAAAAAAAATTAGCCGCTGATACAACAATTATCTAACTAGTGGCACGCTAGACGCGAGGCTTTTGTCTTCACCTTCTCCAACTGAATAAGGCTGCAGGACCAGTAAGATGGTAATTGTACGACCAAGAAGTTAATGACTCTGAAGCAGACAACGCATGTTGTTGCTGCATGTTGGATGAATCGATGGTCAAAGTCAGCGAATACAACAAGGGGACTGTAGATGGTCGGTACCAGTATTTATGAAGCACTTCCTTTGTCTATTTCTTGGACTGCGCCTCCTTGCTTGAGCGATGATGGATTGGCAAATAGGGAGCGGGATTAGAAACACGATGCATTTGTCACAGCACGTGAACTAACTACGCGACTCGTCACGACTATAGTATGAAGAAAGTAAGGACTCGAAAGCCCAAGGCACCCTACTCTTCTAGTATCCAAGCAATCTTCCCATACGGTGTCATTACACTTCCTGCTTTACCTTTTTGGATACGGAATCCGACTTCGTAGATACCTGTTCCAACATCAGATACATATTGGTTCTCAGCATCAGTGCTGGGAGCAGACAGGTAAAGTCGAGGGGCATTTGTGGCAAGATGCACGCTATCAAGAGACCAAACAACTTCATTGTCGTTTGATGAATTGGGCTCGTTGCCAATGACGGATGTGAGTTGTTTGGAGATCCCAATTAGAGACAGGTTATCAGTAAGGATGCGGACGTGCGCAATTCCTTGGGCCGTCGATGGGTGGACTGTGTTAGCTGGAGGATCACTGGGAACCTATGATTTGGCTATATTAATAAAATGGGAGGTGATCGAGTTTAATACGCATTATGAGCCACTCACCCTGAGCGTTCGAGGCGTGACATCACCACAAAAGAATGGCAGAGTTCCTCTCCGCTGATTCTGTTCTGGAGCTGAGATCAACCACTTCAGAACTTCACCATCGGGTCGTGTCCTTCCTCCATCCTGCTCCTGCAGGTACGCTGCGCCACTGCCATCCTTCTTCGCGCGTTCGTTGATGATTCCTGCAATGCTTTCCTGGTGCGATCCATTGCCCAAGAATGCGTAGTCAATCCATCCATAGGGTTTGTGTGACCATGGGTTAGCATCACGTTTCTCACGCTCGGGAGATCCAGGGGGGTAATCCGACTCTGGATGCGTGAAGAAAATGAGTTCGAGATAGATACCATCGGCGAGGACCTGTACAAAACGGGTAAGCAACGAGCATATATGCGCAATGAAACCCACGAACAACAAGAGCGTTTGCTGTCAAGCCACCAGCGTGCGTTCCCCCAGGAATGACGCTAAAGATATTGATCAGAGAACATTACAGACAGATACAAAGAGTAATGACTCACTTGAAGCCCAATTTCTTGAACTGCTCTGTGGTTTCTTCAAGAGATCCTGGTGGTGTAAGATGCACGATATGATCCAGAGTTCGCGTGTTCACCGACATGCTGGTAGGTCCTCGTAGATTTCTGTACGCTAAGATGCGCTCCTGCTTTGACGCAGTTTATAAAGCAGTAAGGCCACCGATTGCACCATTTCGATGATGGTGGGAGTAGAAGAAAGCTTGTTACCGTAGTCCGTCGGCTGGCCGGCCCATTTGTGACTGGTGTGACGCATGTGACGTATGCCATTTACGTCGTTGAGGGCTCAGCGGACAGGCGCAGCAGCGGTTGAACTCCAATCACCACCACAATGAGGTCTTTTACACTTCTTCTACCTCTGGTTTTTCTTTCGATTTCGTCGGTGTCGGCAGTACCGTCGCCCATTGATGCTCAGGCTGTCTTCCAGAGGCCGTTCTCGGGCTTCTCCAGCAACTCGTTCAAGGATGCCGCGTCACATTTCCTCAGTGACGCCAAGAATGCGATTCTAAAGGGGAAAGCAAACATGGAGAGGTGGTATCACGATGGCAAGGAGTATATCAAACAGGATAACCTTCTTTGCGAGTAATTTCATCCCATTCTTCGAGTTAGACCCTAATATATTCCTTATCTTGTAGATGAACTGGTCTCGCACCCTTCATTCTCTGAGCACCAACTGCGTGTTACCGAACCAACTCTCTGTGACTCCTCAGTTAAGCAGTACTCGGGCTATCTTGATGTCGCAGAAGATAAACACCTGTTCTTCTGGTGAGCTCTCTATCTTAGTCTCAATCTGTTCAATTTATCACCGCATCTTTGCAATTTGATTTATTTCTGCCCTTTATCATCTGCTCCTGAAATGCGAGACACCTGCTGACTTCGCTTCTAGGTTCTTTGAATCCCGCTCATCACCCAAAGATGCTCCTCTAGTGCTGTGGTTGAACGGCGGCCCTGGGTGTAGTTCGTCTACTGGTCTGCTGTTCGAACTTGGGCCGTGTAATATCGCAAACGACGGAAAAAACACCACTCACAACCCCTACAGCTGGAACTCGCATGCAAACATTATCTTCCTAGACCAGCCTGTCAACGTCGGCTACTCCTATGCTGACGACGGAACAACCGTCAACAGCAGCCCTGTCGCCGGAAAGGACGTCTACGCCTTCCTCGAACTCTTCCTCAATCGCTTCCCGGAGTACTCCACCCAACCCTTCCACATCGCTGCCGAGAGCTACGGTGGCACCTACGCTCCCAACTTCGCCAGCGTGATCTACAAGGCCAATAAAGAGCTCCAGCTTGCTCCAACCCCGAAACTTAAGCACATTAACCTAGCCTCTGTCGTCTTAGCAAACGGACTTACGGACCCGTATGTGCAAATGGGTTCGGTGCCCGACTACGTCTGTGATGGGCCGTATCCCGTTTATGATGATCCGGAAGGACCTCAGTGCGCTGCCCTCCGCACCAAAGTCCCCACCTGCCAGCGCCTGATTAAATCATGCTACCAATTCAACTCCAGGCTTACTTGCGTCCCCGCAGTGTTGTACTGCAACACACAGCTCTTTGGACCCTTAATGCGTGCGTAAATTTTCAAAATTTAATTTTTGTTTACAAGTCTCATATTCGTTATTGTTACATTCTTACAGAAACCGGACTTAATCCTTACGATGTCCGTCGTAAATGTGATCGCGCCAAAGACGGGGATCTCTGCTATGTACAAATGAAGTGGATCGAGACCTGGATGAACGACCCCAAGAATAAAGTTG